CGACTCGTTGATAAAAATGATAAAATTTAAATGTATATAACTTTGCAAAAAATAATTCTAGAATTGTAGATTCAATTCTTTTTCTTATTAAAGTTATTTGGAGCTTTTATTAAATAAAATTTTTTTTGAAATATTAGATTACAATATACCGTGGTACAATATAAATAGTATAATATGCCGTGGTCCAATATACACTGTCAGTACTGAAAATCTATAATAGTTTGCGTTACGTATGCTATAGATTTTCAGTACTGGCAGTGTATATCGAAACACGACTAATTTATTGAGTAAAATTAAGTATTAAAGTCACTTGCTACTACGCTTTAAAAAAAGGAAATTAGAGCATATGCGAATAAGAAATATTTCTAATAAAAATGATAGGAGCTTATTGAGAGAGATTTAGCCGACATAGTTATGCAGTATGAAACGAACTATTGTTCTCTTGATGCAGTTCAGTCTCTTTTTCGGTATCTATTCCATATTCGACGAGTCTGATGATTTCAATATTTCTTTGTGTATACATGCATGAACATTTTTCATACATGCAAAGTGTCTTTTGTGCGACATATTTAATGACAAAATATTTCTAAAAATTTAATAAATTTTTTAACATACATTTAAAATACATTTATTTTTAACAATTTTATCTCTGTATGTTGTGGAAAAAACATTTTAATAATAAATGAATTTTCCTAAAAAAGAGAAATTTATTACATCAGACAGTGATAAAACAGTATGGGTTTTTATATTTTCCTTGTAAAATATTTTGTTAATTAAGATTAATTAAGTTACATTAAGCTCGATTATCGAGAGAAAGTTCGGGATTATAAGTAATGTTAAAAGTATGATATTCCTTTTCATATCTGGCAGGATAAACGCGAATAAACTTGTCTTCGGAAATGTTTAAATATTACGAGTACGCTTCTTGCGTAATGAGACACCAGGTTTGGACTCGATGACATATTTTTCCTTGGCTTAGTGAAGTGTACTTTATACGACGTTGTAAAATTTACGAGCGCTGCGCATCAAATGTTATTAAATTTTACGGGGTTAAACCTCTCGTCGCGGATTATTAAGATTCTCATCCCGATGAGCGGCGAGAGAAAGAGAGAGGGATGCGAGAGGAAGCGATTCTTAGATAGGAAATTGTTGGTTATTAACCTCGTGTATATATTTTCTACGCTCTCATAAACATCTTAACTGCTCGATGTTAAAATCGCGTTATTGCATTTTATTAATGTTATCTAAAAATATTTAAAAATCTGATTTTTTCAGAAATAAAATATTTGACATATATGTTTCATTGCTGGTTAAAAAAGAATGCAGCGCAGCTGTCTCCGGATTCATTTAATTGACGCTCTTAAATTGTTTAACCTTTAAACAGCAAATAAATTCTATTTAAATGACATTAACTGTGAAACTTTGAAATAGAAATACCTGAAAATATTGATTTCCTATCTACTTATTTTATAATTTAACATTTGTAGGATATGAAACGTCAACACATAAATTGCAATAAAGTTGATATTTGTTTTCTGCGCGTTCTACATATTTTTATTGATCAACATAAATTATAAATAATATTTAATGTTGTAATAGTTACTCGCGGATGTTCTGTATTGATTTTTGTTGCTTTTGATTTTTTTTGTGTAGAGAAAGAGAGATGAATTCGATATTTTTCAATTAAAAACTGGAACAGGACAGCTTCCGAATTCGAAATTGCTAAACGATGGGAAAAGAAGAAGTTCGAAAAGAATGAAAATTACGAAGTAATGCCCGTGGCGTGCATATAAACATGCACGAATAATTAGGTCGTGCGCGCCGACGTCACGGTGGTTGAAGGTGCGAGGTTTCGGAAGGTGGGCAAGGGATGGGGGGGGGACGCAGGTACACTTAATGCACGGGTGGTTTACCATAGAGCCGTACATCATGGGTTGGGGTTTACGTCCGTCTAACCGCTCCGATCATGCCGGTTTTCCCGAATCTGGATGATCCGCATGCCACGACGACCGCACAATCGGATTCTCTTCTTCGCGGCTGATCACCGCGTTGCCCTTTCCGTATAAGTCCCCTTGACGTAGCGAAACATAATATCGGCGCCTTTCTTAAGAGGTAATCCCGTCTGGAAAGAAGTGACGGCAATATAAGATGTACGTAACAGCAAAATGATGCGATGATCCCCTTAAGCGTTGTCTGACAAATACAGACCGTATATTCACTTATCCGACGACGATTTCTCTTGGAAGACCGAAGTTAGCTTTATTATACTCGATACTAATATCGCAAAAAAATATAGATACGATAGATTATTCTTTGAAATTAAATGATTTTAGTTCATTACTATTGTCGGATAATGTTGTAATAATAGATAAAAAAATGAAATTAGTTCCACATTTTCAATATCGGCGCTTCTTTATTTCTACAAAAGAAAACTAAAACTCGGAAATGTAGTCTTCGTAAGATTGAAATACCCCCGTGGGAAATCCATCCGCATCTATGAACGAGTGCGGATCGCGAAATTTTTCCAGCACAATTCGTTCATTTGCGATCTCCAGCTGACATTCTTCGTTCTTTTCTTTCTACTCTCTCTTTCTATGCACGATAAATTTTTATATGTAATAGCGAAAAGGTGATTGGATGAATGAAACTATTGCTCGAAGGCTTCCTTTGGGAATTTCGTTATCCTTACAGAAGGCGACCTGCCACACTCGACTGCATCCTATGTCCAGACAGTATTTGAATATCGCGATATTTGAACGAGACGGTGGGAGAGTTGGGATGGGGGGAGGGGTGAGATAAGGATGATAAGAGGATGCCGAAGATCGAATAAAAGGAAACGAAAGATTGGTAAAGAAGCGGAGGGGTAGAGAAGATCGACAGTGGGCTCTCTTTGATCCGCTCTCCCTTTGCTATTATTTACCGGGAAAAGCCGAACCACTCGGAAGCGGCGAAAAACACGGAGAATTTCAACCATCTCTCTACGCCCATCCTCTGTTTTGGCTTATTTTCTACAAGAGCGGATGAGCTTTTCGCGATGTATCGTTAGTCGAATCGTACCCTCGTGTCTTTCGTTTCGAAGTACGCATTAGACCTTTGATTTCATGTAGCAACGAATGTTGAGGGATTAAATTAAATTTCGAACTGGAAATTTGTATAATGGCTATAGCCAAATAGGAAATAAGTAGAAGTATGTAGGATAAAAGTACGATGAAGAAATTACCAATTAAATAAATGCAATTTATGATTGATACAGTACTTCGAATTTATGAATGAAGTATGCGCTCTGTTCGACAATTGCCAATATTTCGGCAATGGGCTCAATTAAAGTGGATTTTAATCTTCTTCGTGATTAATATTTCATTGCGCCCGTTAACGAAAATTTCCTAGTTCATTAATAATCTGTACCAACGCTATTACCGTCAAATTCGGTCGGTGCGAATATATTGACCAAAATATCGATAACGAAAATTCCGGTCTATCCGAAATTTGGATATAAGTTAACGGACGCGCTTGCGCGATGCATCCATTATTACGGGCACAATACATCGAGCCGGTCTCCACTGATACGCGCGTACTACCGATCCTCGAATTCCTCGGACGCGCGCGCCTGGTCCTTTGATCTTCGTAGCGGCAAGATAGTTTCGAAAAGTTGCCAGGCAGTTGTTTGGCTCGCCAGGCTCTACGAGTTTAGCGCTACGAGTGAAGTATCGGGGTGAGCGCGAGCGCTAATTAATTCTCGTTTAACGCTCGGTACCCGCTCCCGATGTTCGACGCGAAATACTTGCTCGCTGGCTGGCCAACAAATGTTGGGTATCTATTTATTTACCTTCAATTTACTACGCCCCCACCCCCCTTTCCCTCGAACTTGCAGTAAATAGCCCGACGGAAAAACCTCAGTGCCTTAACCGCATAAAAATTGAAATATGTCTGTTTCCTGTGTAAATGAGATCGAGATTATTTACTCGCGCTTTTATCATCAATATCGAACAGCAAATATCTTTCATCCGCTTCGTTTTACTTTCGGATCACGTATCGAAGATTCAATCGACTACGAAGGGATATTCTCTAGAATAAAGCAAGCCGCGTTTACATAAGACACGAACATGACAACGTCAACGGAGAAGAAACGAGGTTGGAGCTCAACTCTGATAAATTTTTTTTTTTTCGTTCGACTATTGCCGATCGATATAATGTTTACGTATATAACAATGCGTCTCAATACTCCGTGGACATTGCTTCATTATTTCTGCCGCAAAATTTGATCCTTCATCTTCAATTTGTGATAATTGACGTTGATTTGCAATTGACGATCACCTGACGTAAATAACAGATAAAACAGTCGAGCAGTATAATCAATTCACTTTTTATTATTTATTTTCTGCTATTCAGAGCTCGCAAGCTTTCTATTCGTTTCTTTCGATTTTCTAATTCGTCGCGTTATTTTCGCCCGTATCTATATTATAATAGATACATCGACGAAAAACTTGATTGCACCGTACAAATCGTACTCAAACCGTAAAATATTTACGGTTATATACGGGTATATATACACATATATATACACATATATTTGGTATTTTCTTAATATTTGTATTTTTTTTCTCATCAATCGGTATATAAAATCTAAATTATATCTTTCCGTTTCTCTTGCGGTTCTCTTTGTTTATTGTTAATTTTCCATTCCCCAATTATGTTTCCATCCCCGACATTACGTTAGCATGATATTTATTTCCAATTTTTCACAATTTTTTATTTACTAAATCGCATCGAATTATAAACACTTACCGTTTAATCTCCAATAAAATTGCGGCAGTTCTCTGGTTTGGATTTAATTAAAATGTTTAAGCTGTTGAATATAAATTCTTTTTAATAAACGTACTCGGTTGTACGTTCGATTTAAGTTTTTATCGTAGAAGTCACAACAAGTACAAAAAAAAAAGATTTAAATACTATTTCTGTTAATTTGCTAATAATTATCACGTATATTACTAATTATGATGTGCAGATATTTTATTTTTCCGTTTTTTTTATATTTAAATATTTTTATAATATTGCAACTGTTATTTCGCAATCTCAATTTGTTCGTTCATTTTCTCTCGCTCGGATAAAATAGATACTGTCAAAATTTATTGACTTTCGAGACTCTCGCTAAGATCTACTTATTCAAACAGCCATGCATACACCTACTTAGCGATCTATACCATTATTCTGCGAAGTCATTGCCATATCCATACCACCTTATCGCTCCACTTATCTATCCATCCACGCAGACGTTCTCTCTCCGTTTAACCTCGCTCTTGTGCAAGGAAACGATTTCTGTTCGCGACGGGGTTAGAATGGATTCGGCGAGATTAGGCAGGCAGATACCAGCAGGATTTAGTCGAAAGTGCTTGCAGGTAGCAAGAGAGAAGAGAAAGAGGGCGGGAGAGGAAGGTAGTGGAAACGTGACGGCGGGGGCGAGAAGGAAAGAGCCGGTGCCGTGTGTACTGCTCGCTTTTTTTACGAGCAGCTCTAAGAAACGAAGTACGTTTACGAGCTTATGGCTCGACGTGCCGCGACGAGCGTCGTCGGCGACCGTCGGCGGCTGGCGACGGGAGCACGAGCGACAACGTCCGTAGTCCGAGCACGCGTCCTTATACCTGCCAGAAGTCAATTTCCTCCTTCGAGAAGAGGGTCCCTCGCCTTCCACCGCCGCCGCCGGGTCTCTCGTTCCCTCGGGAGGAGCTTGTCTTCGTCCTCGTTGTCCTCATGTCGCGAGGATCGCCGTTGATTCCTCTTCCGTCCCCTTCGCAAATCTGACAATTTCCCGGTGACTTCGCAACTTTTTCTCGTTGAGTGCTTCCATCGTTTGTCGATTTAATAAATTCGGCAAGGGCGACGTGGTACGTTTTTAGGCGAAAATTGGGGGCTTTAGGCGGCTTTCCGCGACAGCAATTGGCACGGATTTCCGGACGAGTACGATAACACAACACGTGGGAGCGTAAAACTCGAGGCACGATATATTAAACTTTCCATTGTACTAGCTATTATAAGTTCGTAAATTTTGTTAAAAGTGGTTGCTGGCTTTATGATAAAAAATATTCATATCATATTGTATGGATATTTGTATATAGATATTCATAATAAAAATTGATGTGTTTCGGACACTTGTGTTCATAACAGAAAATTAAAAAAAATTGAGTGAAATATCTTAAAAATCAATATTTGTTTGCGATCTGTGGAGAGAAGGTTTTTTTCCATTTTTTTTTTTACTAAAACGCTTTGCTTTTGGAGCTCGAAGCTTTTTCTTCTCCATTCATCTTCTCTTATTTCCTTTCTCATAGAAGTAATACAATTATCCGGTATTCTGTTAGTAATATTTGAAACTAGACCTTATTTCCTCGAATTTGTCTCCCAATTAGAACGCTATCGCGCTCCGCGACTTTACGGTTGCTCGGGCGAAAATTCCCCGTTGCCCCAACGGGCACGAAACCGTCGCGGCTCCACCGTCGCCGCCGTTTGATTTATCGCGAAATTTGCCCCGCGCTTCCCACGGGGGATGCCGGCCCGGGACGACGTCGGCGGATGCTCTCGCGTGGATTCCTAATAATCTAATATACCGCGACCTGAGCGCAATTTCATGCCTCCTCGGTTACGTGTGGCGTAGCACTCCCTCTCTCTCCCTATGTGTGATCCGAGAGTGTCGTATTCACCCTCCGCTCTACCTCCGCTCCGTCTCTCGCCCTTTCCCATATCGTCCTTCCTGTTTGCCACTGGCGGACCGGTTACCTGGATGATCACAGTGACCGCTTGTGACTGGAGACTTGGAAATCCGATAACGTATTAAATTCTCCCGGTGGCGACTTAACTTGCGTATCTGTTTGTATGGGAACGTGCGTTGCGATTTATTGAAAATTAAATTAGAATTTAGAGAGAGAGAGAGAGAGAGAGAGAGAGAAGATAAAGAAGATAAGAAAGAATCTATTAATGATAATATCACATTATATAATATCTAAGTTTACTTCACCATTTAATAAATTTTTTGTTAATTTATTGAATTGATCTTGTGTTTTTTTATGAATAAAATTAAAGATTAGTTACGTACGAATTATATTAGTAACGCTGCTTTTTCTATTAATAATAATAATAATAAAATATCCGTAAAATGAAGATATTCAATTCTCCAGTTCCGGCTCTATCAATTGAGTAAGTGAGTCAAGAATGTAGTCTATCGAGCCACATTTTCGCTCGCAATCACGCGGACTCTTTCCGGATTCGACGCGCGTCGCGAAGCATTAAACGAACATGTATAACGCCGCGAATACGAGCCTCGTACCGCTTCACTCTGATCGGCTTTTATGCGCTTTACATGCACGCCGCGATGGATATCCGCGTACACGGCCCGCCGCGCGTTAGATTCCTTCCATATTCTATTCTATTCTGTCAGTACGAGATACCCAATCTGCAGCTGCACGCGAGCGTGCACGATCGACCGAGAACTCGATTCTCGTTTCTCGCTTTTGATTGTCAATCGTTTACATCGGCGTCGACAGGATTTATTCTCGAGAGAAACGTGATAATCATTGAAATTCTTGTTTATTTTAAGAAAAAAAAAAAAACCGTAGATAATCGTGTTCTGGCAACATTCCTTAGTTTTATTACAAGCGTTTTATAAATTCAACTGTAATTTGCCTAAAGAAAAGTTGTCTTACGCATATCATTTGTAAAATGAAATTCGAATATTTGACATAGTTCTTTTACATAACGTTATTGAAATTTTAATTTTTTTTTTGTTCGTCGGAGAAAATCGGAGATTTTCTGCGAACTCTTCATAATGCTCGTGGATTCTTATCTCTGAGAATCTTCTTGCGCTATAAGATAGCATAGAATAAGCGGAGAATGAGGCTCGTATATGCGTCCCGAAAGGATACGCTTGAGCGATTTTTACAAAGGAACGAGCTTAACCGAAGCCACTTGATCCAATCTTTCCGGATATATCAAGTTGTTCCAAGAAATACTTCCTCGTTTTACATCGGATAATAACGTGGTAAAATACATCCGCGCGATATATTGCCGCGATGCCGTGGCGCCGGGCCGGAAAAGCACGATACGCGCCAAAAAGGGGAGGTCACATAGGAAATTATTTATTCGCGCTTTATTCGCATTCGTAATTTTGTTTGTATTGCTGCGCGTGTGCGATAAATAGCATTTTAATCTTGCCGCAGCAATATGCGCGACGTAGCAAGTTGATATCACGCCGGAATTATTTACTCGCGCGTTTTACGCGCTTACCAGAGTTTATTTGTTTTTGCAATACAAAGATTTTATATGCACCACGTACGATTTTAATAATCCCTTTATAATGTTATCGTCAATATAGACACAAACACGTTTCCAAATCTTGTGTGAGAAATCTTATTATTTTTTTTATAGCATTATATATTATACTAGCATGAAAATTATATTATTTAATAGCTTTTGCGATTTACGACTTTCGATCGATTTTTATAACTTTAGCGCAAGTTTAACACAGTTTTGCGTAAATCTGGCTGCTTCTCTTAAATTTAAAGATGCCGATATTCCAGAAACATATATTTTTTGTACACGGTACAGTGTATATCGGCACTGTGATTTTGTTATCGCAAAATCCCCGCGTTTCCGGATCACGCTGAAGCGCGCACAAAGAAACTCGGACAAAAAATTCGGCGCGAGCGCGCACGCGAGGTTTTCAGAAGTTCGCGTCGACTCATCGCGCGCACTCAACTTCCCGAGAGTTGTAATAACTTATGAAATGAACTTCTAAAGAATTCATTTGATTTGACTTCGTGACTTCGCGTGATATTACCCCCGCAGTAAGATTAAAGCGATATTAACACGGCAGCAACGCAGCGAGAGGCACGCGATGTCCGGCGGTGGGCGATAGATCGCCCTTTTGCCAGGCTGCGCCTCCAACTTCCCGTCGAGCTTTATATACTATTTTGACGAGACATATACGCGGAACCGACACACACACAGCTTCGCGTAATGCTTTAAATTGGCCTTTCCCAAAGTAGAGCACGCGTATCGTATCTCGAGGGGATATTCCTTGGTTTACGCGAGAAATATCTGACAATGAGGTGCGTTGCGTCAACTGAAAACTTTTGTGTATTGCATGCAAAACAGAATTACTCTTTTTGACCGTAACTTTTTGGACAATTAGTAATTGCAATGCAATTGCATTATAATTGTAACGTAATTGATATTTTCTCGAGACTATTATCTGGCGAAAATTTTCACAGCAGCTCTCTCGCCGCGCGCTGCAAAGAAAGCTGAAGTTTCGCGATCGCTGAAACGAGTAGCGGGACGCACCGCTCCTTGTCCGTCCAGTAATTAGAGGCGATAGTTCGGCAAGATAGTTAAGGTCGTTACCGGCTCTTGCTTTAGCCGCTCCGAGATGTGGGTCAATTTCTTACTTCTCCGTCTCTCCGCGGCTGCCCGGCGACTTCGCTAGAAGCGCGCCTCACGGAAAACTCGCGGAACCAATTTGATAATATCGTTGCCCGCGCGCGCCGCTGCGCTTCCCTATGGCCATGGCTGCAGAAACAATAAAATTACACGTACATACGCGCACACGTACGCGACACGTACGTTGCGTGCACGAACGTGAGCAGCGAGCCGCGCTCTCGCGAAGCTCCTGGGAGCAGCCTCGCCGTCGTCTCGTCGTAACCGTTTTCCGCCTTCCGTCTTCGAGGCTGCCAGCGGACAGAGATGCCGCGCTGACGCTGAGAAATGGGAAAAGTCACTTTTCTCTACGTTCCTCTAGGGCCGCTCAACCGCCACGACGCGTGCGACCTGAATAGAGATATTGTTTCCCAGATAAATCTGTAATTTTTTACAGAAACCTATATAGTTATGGATAAAATGGTATAAATAGATAGTAATGAACAAGATATAAATAAGCGTTTAGATATTGTAGTTAAATAGAATTATTTAATTTTTTTTTCGAAAGAACATGTTCAAAAAGAATAATTTTAGAATCATTCGGTTTATGTAAGTATTTTATAAATATTGAATTGACGGAGACTTTAAAAGGATGGAATTTTCTGGCAGTGTGTTCTTTTACTCTCATCACAGAGTAAACGTATTCGAGAAACATTACATTACGAAAGTGGTATGCCGGGGGGAAAACTCTTTAAAAGAAGTGACAAATGGATGCGCCGCGATCTATGAATATTCATCATGTCAGTACGCGGATAACGCGATGGCGGAACAATGTTTCATTCTTCAAAAGTACATCGCGTCAACGATGAGATGTGGAACACTATGTTAGAGATATTTTGTTGAATTCGATTCGCGAAACTCGTGTGCCAGTCAAACGGCAAATCGTTTCTATTTCGTTCATCAGAGGCAATTGAATACGATTTTATTATATTATGGGTTATTGCATATAATAGTAAACGAGATATAAATTTAAATTTAAATTAGGATATTGATTTTGAAAAAAAAATTAGCTTCAATATTATCTAAATTACCAGACGTTAGAGTTTTTCTCTATAAAAAGAAATTAAAAAAATTAATTTATTGCGAATTTAAATGTATTTCACAGATGTAATTTTGATTACTTTAATTCGGTATTTTATAATAAAATCAGAAGTAATCCTCGTGCGATAAAGAAAAGAGGAGAGGTATCTCTTTTAATTCTAAAGATGCAGGTTACGAAGCTTATGAAGCGTTTGTAGGTTGTGTAATTTTGAGTTTGGAAAATTAAAGTACACCATGTCTCCTCTTTGCTTTATAACTCCATAATAATTTCATAATTAATTTTGTTTCTACTTGTTCTTACACAGTAATTATTGGATCGGGCGGGTAGTAGCTCGTCGAGATCTTTAGGATGCCTTAATCACATTTATTAGACCCTGAAAATTCAAGGAGCGTATAAAATTCATACTGGAACTTGGGCGGGAACAACTCGGCGGAACTTCTTGATAAAGATAGCGCCGCTATCTCGCTGCAATTTCCATAACTGGCAATTTTTAGCGGGCTCGAACGCGCCGACTTATTCTTAACCGCGCGCACTAATTATTCCGGATAAAGTAGATGGGTCTCTTTCTCTGAATACGAAAATTATTCGCTCGGTCATGGATCCTGGATTGTTTCCCCGTTTTCTTTTTATTTCTCGTTGCGATTGTCCGTAATTAAGGTGCCGAAATTGAATACTGACCCGATATAAGCACGTAATAGGTCCTCGTTACACGCGGTCGCCGAGCTTTTTCCCAAATACTCGGCTCTCCTCGACACACTTCGGTGCATTCAATCAATTCGGTGCAGCTCGTTTGCAATTCTGCAGGTCAACAGACGAGCCTCGATACACCCCGCTAGTGTAATTAATCAGTATCCTTGAAACGGCTTTCTCTTTCTTTCTCTTGAACGTATTACGATCTTTTTTTCCATTCTCTCTTCCTTCCATTCTTCTCTCTCTCTCTCTCTCTCTCTCTCTTTCTCTCTCTCCCCCCCTCTTTTTTTCTCTTTCAATCTACAAACAGCAGGCGTCGAGCGTGCGCTTAACCACCTGTACTTCGAGTCGATGTTTCATACGCAGACGACCCCTTTCTCGACCCGTTTCCTTGAACCCTGCTATATCAGTCATATCGCTAATTGGAAATCGCTCGTGCGATCTACAATGTCTCGCGCGGCATACCTGCAATTAAATGTGCGTTCACCGCGAACCGCCAGCCATGTCAGACTTTTACATTAGAAGGAAAGTTTCCGGTCTTTTCTCTCTCTCTCTCTCTTTTGTATTAGCGGAAGATGCCACTCGTTGCTTGATTGCAACACAGCGGGCATCTTTCCGCTTTAACCCTCATAGTATATATAGTTTAACACATACATATATATGCGCCCTGAAATTTGCGAATTTAATTTTAATAATAGTTTCTTTCGGAATAAAATAAATGGTTCTAGAAATATGGATTGCAATATTGCCTCACTATTATTTATTATTCTTTATTTAGCCACAATAAGAAAATTTTTTCTTTTCATATAATCTCCTTTTATCATACTTTAAAGTTAACTTTCAGTTTAAAAAGATTTAATTTGCGTGAAGAGTAAAGGAAGTTAGCGCAAGTTTAACTTTATCATCACGAATGTTGTTGTCATTGGATTTGCATGGTATTATTATAAAAGGAGATTTGTTCGAACGCATTCTCGTCAAATGCATTTTTCAACAGTAAATTACGTATCTATCTATGGAACAGATTTCCATTAGCACGAGATAGAGTAATTAAAGAGGCTAATAACTCTGTGTACAACTCCGAGACATAAAGGTAACTTATACGTATATATATTATATATATATATATATATATAGAGTTTCTTTCACAAGAGGCAGGATGTGATATATGTACTTCACGATACACGTGTCACGCAGAATAGATTTCCCTGCTGATGCCTTTTAATTGGCACGGATGTCGTCGCGATTATATGAAAATAAAATGCTCATTACAAGCAGAGATTTCCATTAGCTGAAACTGTTCGTAATGAATATTTATTAGAACTTCAATAATGTGGCAATGTAAACATACATCCGGATGTTTATATATTTTACTTTTTCAAAGTGCTAATAATTTATATTCGTGATATTTTATAACTGCCGTGAGCATATATTAACATTTTATCAATGTCGCAGTAAAATATTAGTAGGTGAAAATTTGCAAAATGAAGACCGATAAACCAGGCGAAAGTTTGTTTTTCACTTAAATTACATTACGAATTTAACAGATAAATCTTACTTTCTGAATAAGTAACTGCTGTCTCTTATTGAAAATAAATTGAATTTTAATTTCCATATGTAACAATGATTATAAAAAACAAAAGAGCCAATATTATAATATTACCGTTCATTGTTATAACGTTTGCATAAAAATATGATATGTAAAATATGGATGTGCCCATTAATTTTAAATACATACACATTCAAGCACATATGCAGTACTTTTATATTTTTTAGATAAATTTAATTGTACCGTATCTATGTAGTTTAATTCACTGCAAATTAACAGTAATTTCGACAAATTGCTAATTGAAACAAATTAAAACTCACAAAGCTTTGATTTACAGTAATATTTTTACATTTAACAAGTTTAAATCTGCGCTGAACGTTCTTTTTTTTCTAACTCGTCTTCGGGCAAAATGTCACGAGCGTTCGTGCTATGACTAATCGCTGATCAATCTGCTCGCGGTACTCGCGCGCATCGGCCGTCAGTGTATGTGCCGTAAGTACTCAGCGTGCACACGGGTACTCACCATCTGCACGTGCATCTCGAAACCAACCCGAGAAGCGAACCGAAACCGTCGGTGCGGTCGCGGCGGCGGCGGCGGCGGCGGTGGCGCACGCGCCACCAGATAGCGGCGGAGACGGGGGGGATGGTTTATCTCCCCGGCGCCATAAACGTTGCAGATATTATGGATAGTGGACTGAGTTACGGGCCAATATTTCTTCGTAATTATTCTACGCTCCTACGTAACGGGAGAGATAGCATCGCGGAGAGGAGCCAGGGTATAAGGGCGCCTACAACCACCGCACCGCCGCCTTTCTCTCGGGTTGTCGGGCCGCCCTCCCCCCCCCCTCCTCCTCCCTTCGCGTCACGTCCGAATTTAGATCCTGTTTTTTATTACCATCCTCGTACGTGATATCGGACTTTTTTCACGACCCGCGATCAGCCTAGTCGATTTATCGGTGTCGTTTGTACGCTTAACTGACAGCCCCGTCTCGTGCATTGTTTTATCCGCTCCATCGTCGTTGTTGTCGTCGTCATCGCGGTCGGAACGAGAGAAAGCAGAAAAAAATGTAAATATGTAGATTTAAAGAAGCTCGTGACTTCTTTGGATTTCTCGAATGCGACCTGCGCAATATTGAGAATTTATAATTATCACGATTACAGCCATTTGAAAATGATTTTCTGTGACATACATATCTATTTGTTACAATTGCATGATTATTTCGCGTAATAACTTATGCAACCTTTTATATGTAAGAAACTTATTCTATACGTATAAGAATCAAGTTCAAAATGACTGGCGCTATAAAAAATATTGGGAATTGAAGCAACTGTCGGGGAATAACCAACATTTATATGCAAAGAGTCTTTCATCGCCATTTGCCGTCATTCCTTAAAAAGAATTTTCCGGCGATGTTTCCACCAGGCGTTCATTCGTAACGAAAGTCGTAAATGAGGAGAAAAGAATACTCTAAGATAATGAAGGCTATAGATAGCAGAGAGTTTGCGCGTAATTGTTCGCGAGAGTGTTTTCCTTTTCTTCGGGGATCGACCGGCGAAGAAGGTTCGCCGAACTTAATTCTTCATTATTTCGCTACCCCTGGCGACGATTAACGAGGCGCCCCGTAGGACTAAAATTGCGTAGGAAGGCCGACGATTAGCTTGAGCATACTCTCTGGAAGATGCGTACGGATTATTTTTCTGAGTTACGGGGTTCTGTGCGAAAGTGTATAGCCTCATTTTCTGTGCGATCACTTAAATGAATTACTATCTTAAATCTCGGCTTTGGAATCGTGCGAATCTGACGATCGAATTTCATCATTGCTTTTCAGTGGGGAAATTAGTAATTGTTTAAATTAGTAATTGTAATGTAAAATTAAAGCAAATTAGATGTTAACTAATCATAAATTATATATGATACACGTATGTTGCTATATATATAGTATATTTATTAAATATTAATTCCCACAAAAAATTAATCTTCGCAAACCAAATTGCAAATTGGGTAAATTTTCGCTTTAACATTTGTTTTATCTACATTACTTTTTAACACAATTACGTATTTTTTCTTCGTGTCTGTATACGCGCAATTAAGTTTCCCGCGTTTATACTTTTCGTCTGTCCGTTCTAGAAATAGCTTCGTAAATTTAAACCCCCATCCAATTATATTCTCATTAATTAAACTCGATTATGTTACGAATTTTAGTTGACTGCGAATACCGCATCCGACGAGTGCTTTAATAGGTGGGGAAACATTTTTTTCCCGTTTTTTTTAATTACCCGAACACAGCTCGTTACTGTAGCGGAGCGTTTACCGATTACGTGCACGTTCTAACTCCGCGTATTCATCCGTAGATGCAACGTGAAATTGCAGCAACAATAGCGCTATGAGCCAGCTGGCGTTGTTATCAACGAAAAGACGCTTTCCAAAACGACAACGTAACTTTGTTGTTTGCTCTGCGCTATTGTATCGAGTTATTATTAATCGGAACAATAGAATAATCTGAATTAACCAGTAAAGGACACCTCTCTTTTGAATGGTTTTGTTTAACACGAAATTTGAAAACAATTTGCGTTCTTTTTTCGAAAATTTAATATTACCAATCGATTAGTTAGAGTAGTTCGACAATTTTACATTGAGAAACACATTTTGCTTTAATTTTGTTTTTTATTTTTAGAAGATATAAAACTTTAAAGAAATTCGCTTGGTGCAAATTTGCACCTAGGTATTTGTCTGTTACGGATTAATGAAAACATTTTCGAATGTGGACAATTATTTTTTGATCGCAATCTTGCCGAAATTGTCTACCGAATATTCTCGGTAAATCATTTGGCAATTAATGACGCACAATAGAGCGGCTGGATTTTTTTCGGATTACTTGCATTTCGGGCGGTGTAATCAAATACGCGGCGACTACTGCACTCGTTCAATTAAAAAAAACTTTTCGGAAGAGCAAAAATTATTTTGGTAAATGCCGGACCGTGCGTTTTAGATAAATGTATATAGATCACTTTGGCGGGAATGACCGCGTTTACATTCAATTTATGAATTTTTTTTTTTTTTTTTTAATGCTCAAACGAACGCAAACGAAGTCGTTTCGCGAAGTTTGGCTCAAAAGATTCGATTGCGCGCGTTGCGGTCTATTTTTTCAAATTTCTCTTCCGAAATGAAATACTATGGCGAAGTTTAATTGGAAGTATTCGATTGCGTTTATACTGGCTCACCGCCACGGGAATAACGTACATAAAACGTTATTATGAATATTTCATCTTGAAAAATATATTTGCCTCTATCGACTCGAATAAACATCATTTATTTGCTAATATATAATTATAGTTACGCGCGGTGTTTCTTACACTGAACAAATACTGTACCGATTATAATGGAAAATTACATATTACATTACATTTGGCTTCTCGTACTAATGTGAATAAATTCGGTCTGTGCACATTTACACAGAAGTAGCTATTATTATTAGATACGCGCATTATTATAATTTTATTATAATAAATAAAAAATTTATCAGAACTGTTCCAACAATTCAATTAATAACATAAATTTGATATCAGCTCATTTATTCTACCAAAAAGATCTTTTTGCCGTCGAGAGAGAATTAAGGACGAGGGCACGCAATATACTAAACAGAATATGCACCTATTTTTGTGTTTACGTTTCGCAATTCACTTAACGTGAATTAATACCGTTGCACGGTGTGTTTAAACTATTGCGAATATATTTGTGCTTTCAGGATGGTCCGCATGATCGGCGATGAATTCCTCACGGAGGAGCGGGACCGAAAATACTACGCCGATCACTACACATGCTGCCCACCACCTCTCTTCATCATCCTCATCACCCTCGTGGAGGTGAGTAGATCGAGTTATCCTGCCTCGTAACGAGCACGGCATGCGCCGGATAATGCGCATGCATACTACCTTGCTTTCTGCTCTTTGATCCTCGCGCTCTCTCGGTCGTGATTAATAAATTTTTAATGAGATCATTTATGCGCAAATACAGACGGCGACTACGATGCACTATTAATCTGTGCTGTTGTTTTCCTTCTATCTTTTGTCTTCAAGCCTTTCATTAGTTTTGAGATAATTTGCTGCTGGCGCGTCTAGTATAGCTACTACGGTTTCGAATATTGAAGTTTATGCTTTATACTGAGCATAGAAATACCTCTCGTTTAGACTACAAATTTCTATATGTTGTGTTTATGTCCGCTAAGAGAGAGTGACTGAGTGAGTGAGTGTGTATGTGTGTGCGTGAGAGAGAGAGAAAGAGAGAGAGAGCATTTTAATTAAAACATACGTGAAGATTTACGGCGGATCCTTACGTTACTTTTGCAATTTTGCGAATCGTCCGCGCTTTTAATTGCTCGGCGCGCATTAATTGCAAGGATTTTCATTTCTGCAACGTTTCAACGTAGATTCTTATTTCTTATGTACGTTTGCGATATCGTATTACGTGATCAAAGATTACAGTTTGTCCGGAGGGAGCAGTCTAATATTCTTTGTGGTCAAAGAGTTAACCGTGCCTGTAAAAGAGTCACGCACGCTCGCCGCGCGTCGTCGTTCTCTATTATTTTCTACATTTTCGCCAAGATGAATAAGCGAAATAATCGTCTCCCGTCTCTAACGAGCGCGCTAGATATTAACACGTACGCACATTTCCTCTTCCCTTTGATCTCTCGTCTAATATCCGTTTTGAGATTGTCTTATCTGTTTCTTTCCTTTCTTTCTTCGTCGTCGCGCGTACTAATGATCATTCTCTCACCCCCTTTTTCGCTCTTCTCTTTTCCCCCCTTCCCCTTTGTGACACGCGCGGCGTGAAGATCTTCGAGACAGATTTATTCCGCCGGCCGACCTCGTTAGGCGGCGATTTTAATCTTCCGTAAAGTAATTCGATACTCGTAAGCCACCCTCGTTAAAAGCACGCTCCGATACGGACGAAACATCTTGCGCAATAATGCTAATTAAAATTGCGTCGGGTTATTATGTCACGGGCTCGGGCGTCCGATGGTGCCGTTATAAATATTGATTTAATAGAGATACGCGGCGACGTCAAAGGACGGCCGATCGTATATGCGCGTGCACGCACACACACGCGCGTACATGGTATCGGGTCATTATAATAAAAGCGCGCGCACTCACGTGCGAATCTCTCCTCTAAATTATTTTTGTTAGATTTTGCAGGCCATCAGGAATATAATGAATACACATAATTACTCCGCGCTCTCATATTATGACCTGCGCACGGGTAAAATTTTAATGAAAACTGTATTATAGAAACGTTTATATTGAGCGTTTCGGCCGCATGGAAAACGAAGCGATTATATTTTTAAATGAGCTCGGTAAATATACGCTTTGGAACGTTGCGCGATTTCATTATGACGTATTGAGCTTCTGTTTAGAGCATCGATTTATCTCACTCGACCTTTTTGTTATCGATGCGTGCGAAAAATTACAAACTGCGAGTGCGACGTGACAGTTTTTTTTTTATGACGTGCGATACACTGCCATTGTACCACCGTTCCTTCGTCCTTTTATTTTCTGTCTTGTCACCCGTCTCGGCGGAACGAACAGGAAGACAACGTAATTGTCTTCTGTAATGAGAGCGACTAGCGCGACTAGCGACTTGCAAAGTTACGCACGACAATGTTCCTTTGAGCATCGAGAACGCCGGGTGACCGTGTTTAATAAATTTTTAATGATCACGGTTTGTGCATAATTTACGCGTGGACGACAGCGCGCGACGGCGTCGTCGGCCGCGAGGGCGCACGGAACAACGTTCTCGAAATTCAGATTTGAAGCTCACACTACCATTATTAATATCTCCGGACCGGAATTACGCGCTCTTACTCGCGCGTGTGTTCGTCGTCGGCAATATATTCGTCGTTATAATAATAAAATTAACTCGACCGTAACTAATGTCGAGTTGGACGGGTGAAACGCGAGAGAAAAAAAAATGTACAATGGAAAATTTTTTTCATATTGTGCAATTTTCGCCGGGCACGATTTAGAATAAAATTACGCAAATTGTACAAGGTGAATCGCGTATATAACGCTAACAGATGGATTTTATTACGGCTGTCCGGCTAATTTTCTTTTATTTTATTATATTATATCTAATTAAATTTAAAATTACGAAATTAAAAGTTATTATTCTTTAATCAAAACAAAGAGAAATTGAATGTCTTTGTAACGAGAATAAAGAGATTAAACATTTTTTTATAATTTGTGAAAAATATATGTCAACTATAAAGGTTATTTAATATGTTGGAAATTGCAGAACTGTAACGAATGACGAGCGCGACCACTCATTTGTGGGTTAAAGCTACAATCTAATTAAATCGGCGCGGCGCGCGGTCCATTTTTTCTCGACCGCTCGTTCCTTTTAATGCATTCGATCGCGCGTGATCGAAGCAAGCAAGCTGGATCTGGTTTGATGCCCGATACGCGAACACTCGCGATCGACGTGCGCTCGTTAATTAAATCTCAAAGTATCTCCATGGTGTAAACTTCAATCCCGGAAGCGACATTTGCGGCCACCGGGATAAGATGCGTCCCGGGATGCGGGATAAGTGCCTGCGACGTGCGACGTATGAAAGAGTAAATTGGTATCAGTAAGTCCGCTAAAAGGGTACTTAATTGCCACTGCTCAGTCGTCATATTTCATGATTTAATTAAATCGCAAGTATCGCGCTTCTTTTTAGCTCTGTTAAAAGGTTGCGCATTCGTAATTTCATCCGGATGGAGGCTAAAATTGGATTTTAACTCGCAGTAAGCGAAATGCAAATGAAGGAACAAAGAGAAAAAAAAGAAGACGTCGCGCGACATTACCGATGAGCAAATTCAGTTTGTTTAGATATGGAGATATTTATATAATTTTTAAATATTATTACCTCTCCCTCTCTCTTTTTTTTTAATTTAGGCGCTCTTTTCATTAATTTCTTTGAAGTCCCGCTTTTACGAGCTATCCTGTCATATTGCGCGAAGTCGGGGAGGAAAAATCATTCCTTTCGTTCGCGCTCAGTTCGCTATGAACTTTGTGATTCGCCAGTCAAAGCATTTTTCGTTAATTAAATTCCCAGGTATTTCGTGTCGTAAGCATTGATGCTGGGTGATATACCCGGGATCGCCGTGAACGCTTTGTCTTTGGAAATTGCAATCAAGGAAAATTTGTAATTTTAGATAACTTTAGGTAGTTAATTCCCCGCAGCCACACAAAGTAATGCTAAAGTTCAATAATATTACGAGAATTCGCGACGATATACAAATAAAATGCCGAAACACCTCGTTTTTTGTCAAGAGGGATTAAAAATACGTAAATAAATAAATATTAATTAATTACATCTCGAAAAATCTTTCATATTTATGATACGCGTAATTACAGGATGCATTATGCCACTTTATTCGAAATTCCTTTATACTTATATATATATTAGATTATTAATTTGAATCTAAATAAAAAATAGCGAATAACATCGAATGTATGATGACTCTGGCTGCGTTCCGCAAAGCGCGTCATGTATCATGGTATTCTTGTTGTTCACAAATGTTAAACAAAGATAAAAAGATAAATTGTGTGCATGACGCGCTTTGCGGAATGCAGCCTCTGTATGTATATATGCGTATATATAGCGTCAGCTGCGCGCGACTGCGGTTTATTTGTCAAGGAATTCTGCGCTAATTAAATCTGCAAGTATCGTAAGTGCAGCGTTAGGGAAAGCGAACCCGGAAGCGCGTCGAACCGCGCACTGCTCTACCGGACGGTGGCTGTACCTAATACCGGCATGCGGGATAAAGCGTCCGCCGCGATGGGCGGCGCAGAGAGGAACGAGGAGGTGTAATTTTAAACGGCTCACGGTTAATACCCATTAGCGACTGGGTTAATACATGATTCACGCGCGCCAGAGATTGTCACATTCGGCTCGATTCTAATTATAATTTATCGCCCGTACGCGATCTCCCCACCTGACTTCCGTCTCGCGCGTATAAAAGCTCCGCCGTCACTCGTGACGGTGCGCACGTGCACGGTATTGGTGGCCGGCGACATAAATGTACGCTAACTTTTGCCATGCGAAACATAATCCGAGATTACGTATTAGTTTCATTTTGATATCGTATTATTAATTGCGCACATTAGTACTTTATCTTTTCATCTGATGTTTCCTACATCCCCTCGTTTTATCGCGCGTGACTGACACATTTGACGATTTACTTTGATATTTGTCGCTAATTTATTATATAGCGCCCTTTTTCTTTAGCTTATCGTGATCCGGGATCTGGTTCTGCTAGAATCGAGTTTGAAAAAAAAAGCCAATTCCATGACGTAATAATACAATCTCTGTGCAATATAAAGCTTGTGTTTTTGTTCTTTCTCTTTAAAATAGCGATAATTTTCTGATTTCCCGGCGGTTACTGTAACGGAAACTGGTCGGTTGGTAACGTATGTACATGTAACTTATCCGGGCGGTATGCGTATGTGTGTATGCATACGTTCGTAATACATTCCGGCTTGCGTGGATTACAAGTGGCGATTTAAACACGCGTTACTCTACGTTACAAACGAGCCGAACGATTACTTATGCACGATGTATCGTAATTTCCGTGACCATACCGCTTTTCACGCCGCAACGTCATCGAAATAAGATCGGCTATTAATTTTCCGCTCGGCCGGTCGTCCAATGATGACTTGCGAGAGATTCCGGAGATATAAAAATGAATAATATAAGGAGAAAAGCGACATTTATAAATCAAAGAGCATTTCGCAGAAAAATAGTATTCTTTGTGGACCTTAATAACTAATTAGCGCGTTATTATCTAGTCGAATATTAAAGAGTATTTTGGTAGATTAGAGTAAC